TTTCTGAAAAGCCCTGCCACCTTCTGACAAGGCCTCCTCCTCCCTTCCCCCCCTTCGCTCGCCGCCGAGCATGGACCCCAGGTACTAAGGATCGCCCGCAGGATTGTCGAGTTGCCGGCATTTCAAGGATGGGGTCCTGAGGGAGGGGATCCCAATCCGAACCTTCACTGCTTGAGGCCACTCGTCCTCAGGGCCCCGTCCATCAGAGCCCCATCTTTGAACCGCCGAGATTGATCGGCGTGGTGGGCGCGGCGCACAGCTCTGGTCGCCGCGACTAGCGGGAATACGACGTGGGATTCGACCAGCGGCCGTCTGCGCAGTCCTCCGACATGATGGTTTACGGCGCTCGGGAGGGATAACGCGTGTTCACGACACGCGCGTCGTCTCTCAAGCTGTGCTGCGTGTTCCTCTTTCCCTGTTGTACAGGAGCCTTCCACTACCTTAGCAGTAACACGCTGAGGGGGTCGCCTCACCAGCGTGACAATGATTGGTATCCCAGCCCTGCTGTTCGTCACGGCTCCTTCCTGCTGGTGATCCCAGGGCCCGAGCGCGGCCCACGGATGTTGAGGTCATGGTACAGCGCGCAGGTGGCGCTTCTTGTCGCAACGCCTCAAGATCTGGATCCCGAGCCAAGATTCTTGGTCCGAAACGCTCAGCGCGTGCGCATGAGCCTGCTCCAAACCCTCCTCCTTGCCAGGTGCCCCCCCCCCCCGTTGGACCCAGGCAACGTCAGCGTGCACAGCTCCGAGACCGGCTGCTTCATCAAGAGACTGACGCCCCACAGGAAGGAGATCTCCGGCATGGTGTACTGCCCCGGGGACAGGAAGGAGATCTCCGGCATGGTGTACTGCCCCGGGGACGAGGGCCTAGAAGACCTGGATCCGTCGGGCAGGAGGAGGACTCGCCAGACGGAGGTGTTTCACAGTTTTTTGGCCCGTGGGTCCCTCGTCGGCCTCCGGGACGTCAAACAACAAGATAGAGAAATGGTTCTGGGGAAAGGTTCGAGACCTCCAGACACCCAGTATTGAAAGTACAAAACCATCCGATGTCTTGGGAGTGCACCGCTTCGTTGACAGAGAACGTCTCGATCTCCCTGCCCTTGTTTGTCGTTTGTCAAGCTGCAGGTCTCACACCACCGCCCCTCGCTGCCATCGTTTCGGCCCGGATCCATGCTGGGGCAGGCGGGCTCTTCGCCTTCCCCATGGGCCAACCTGTCTTTCCACGTATGCCCTGCTCCTGATCCTGCCCCTGGCGCAGGAGGTGAGCAGGAGGCGGGGCAGCGACCGCAGGAAGACACGGAGGAGATCTCCGGTCTCCCTGGCCAGGCGCTCCCAGTTCAGAAGGCCCTGACCTGTCGATCGGGGCTCGTCCAGGCGCCAGGCCTCGGCCACGCGCAGTGGGTGGTACGTAGGGGGATGTGGGAAGGCTTCTTGGAAGCACCCTTGCCTCTGTGAGAGCGCGGGCCCTGTCTGTAGATAGGGGCAGCGCCTTCTAAGAAAGAGGCAGGCTCCTTCCAAGAGGACTTCCCCCCTGCCCCAACCCCCTTGTGCGCGCCGCCACAGGCCACTGCTCCATCCACTCCGCTGATCGATCGGGGCCAGGGCAGTCGATCGCGCCCTGGACCAGCAGGATGCACTCGCCGGCGAGGCCATGATCAGGATCGTGCCTTGGATCAGCTTGGACCTCCCGAGGGGCGTGGCCACGGCAGCGTTTCGTGCATGGCGGTCTGTGCCGGAGGATCTCTCTTTTCCCGGGGGGCCTCGTGAGGACGCGAAGACGAGTGCGCACCACGCATCGCGGGGCACTCAGCGCGAAGGTATAGGTGACCTCGGGATCGGGGGGGTGGGCCAGTGGGCTAGCACTTCTAAGGACAAGAACCTTATCACAGGCGCAGCGGTTTGGGGGGGGATGGGCTCCGGGAAGGGGCAACGACAGGAATATTTGGGCGACAGAGCTGCTGAGTTTGCCGACACAACGTGAACACCGACGTCGCTGTTCTTCCTCGTCCACTCTTGCAGCTCCTGTTTTCTCCTGCTGCCCCTGCCACCCTTCTTCCTTCTCGCGTCCTCCTTCTCTCTCTCCCCATGCCCGCCCCCCCCCTTCCCCGCCCCCTCCGCGGGAGCACCTCCGTCCTGACTCGTACTTGACTCTTCTGCGTCTAGGCAGCCTCATATCGATAGGCCCTGATACGGCGGATGAGAAGGCCCCCCCCCCTCCCCGCAGAGTCGACCGCCGTGACCCAGGTACTGGCAGTGCTTCCCCTTGCACTCTCCTCACCCCGTCCCTGTCCCCCTTATCTCTCCATTCTCCTTCCCTTCACCCTGCTGCCCCCCCCCTCCCCCACCCCGCACGCACACTCTCACACACACACACACCTCACACAGACACAAACACACACACAGATACACACAGATACACAGACACACGGACACACACTGACACACACACACACAGACACACATACACACAAAGACACACGGACACACGGACACACACCTACACACAAAGCAACAACAACACACCAACAACACGCCAACGCAACAACACAACAACACACCAACACACCACCACAACACCAGACTAACACAAGAACACAGCATCACAACACCACACCACACACAACACACACACCACACACACAATACATAACACATAACAGCACACAACCACAACAACACAACAATACACAACACAACAACAACACAACAACACAACACCACAACACACACACAACACACACCCTACAGCACAGAACACACAACACACAACACAAATCACACGCCACACAACACACAATGCACAGCACACAACACAACGCACACACACCACAAAACACAGCACACACGCTCACACACCACACACCACACACCACATACCATAACATACAGCACATAGCACACGACACACAACACACAACACACACAGCACACCAAAAACACATACACATCTACATACATGCATACGTACATGTATACATCCACGCGTACATACATACACATACGCATACGCATACACATACACATACGCATACACATACACATACGCAACTACACACACTCACACTCCTCACACGCACACACGCGCGGACTCACTCACGCACACACGCACTCGCACACACACCAACACACACACACACACACACCCAAACCCACGCCGACACCGACACCCACACCCACACCCACACCCACACCCACACCTACACGCACACGCACACGCATCCGCACCCTCACACGCACACGCACACGAACACGACCACGCACACGCACACGCGCACACGCACACGCACGCACACGCGCCCGCGCACACGCACACGCACGCGCACACGCACACGTGCACGCGCACGCGCGCGCACGCGCACGCGCATGCGCACGCGCACGCACACGCACACGCACGCGCACACGCACACGCACACGCACACGCAGACGCACACCCACACGCACACGCACATGCACACGCGCATGCACACGAACACAAACACATACTACGCACGCAGGCACACGCAGACGCACACGCACACGCACACGCACACGCAGACGCACACGCACACGCACACGCACACGCACCCGCACACACTTTTTTTGCTTCGGCTGCTGGGCAGACGGTGACTGCTCCAGCGGGTTGGCAACAGGGGAAACGTGGTATGCAAACTAAGGCCGCCATGCACGGAAGAGGAGGGGGAGCCCCGGCGCGACAGGAAGAGAGGAAGCCGGGCCCATTCAGAGTCGCCGGCTGCGGCAGGAGAGCGCCGAGGGGGGAACCAGCGCCGGCACCGAGCTGCACAGAGCTGCACTTAGCTGAAGCTTGGGGGAACGCGGCCCAGGAGACTGGGCGGCAGATGGGGGAGCCACACAAGCGAACCAGAGACTCGACCCAGCGAGCCGCAAGGCAGCCGACGGGGCGCCGAGACCTAGGGGCATACAAGGCGCGGCTGACCAAGGGCGAGAGCGCCGGGACCAGGAAGGCCTACGAGGCGCGGTGCGGGGAGGCGGGCTGCGACGACCCGGCGGGGCGGACGCCAACCAGGGGTGGAAAGAAGCGGGAGGGACGCGCACACACAAACACACGCACACGCACACGCACACGCACACGCACATGCACAAGCACACGCACACGCACCCGCAAACGCACCCGCACACGCACCCGCACACGCACACGCACAGGACCACGACCACGCACACACGTACGCTCACGCGCACACACGCGCACACACGCGCACACACACAGACACACACACACACACACACACACACACACGCACGCACGCACGCACGCACGCACACACACTTGCCCGTCTCCCCTCCTCCTTCTCCGCCTCCTTCTCTTCATTGGGATCGACGCTTTGCCTCCTCGCCCTCTTTCTCCTCCGCCTCATCCTCCCACTTCGCGTTGTCCGTGCGGTTGATGTTAGACCCGTCGCGTCTGTATCTCCTTCTGCCCCCCTCCCTTTCACTCCTCCTCCTCTTCCTCCTCCTCCTCCTGCTCTTTCCCCTTCACCTTCTCCTCCTCCTTCCTCCCTTCCTCCCTCCCTTCCCCACTCCATCTACCCCGCCCCCGCTCCCTCTCGTCCCTCTCCTTTCGCCTCCCCCCCCCTCCTTTCCCCCCCCCTCTCCTCCCTTTGTTTCCTCATGCGCAAGTCCTCCCAGCCGCACCACCGTAGGCCGACTGGGCCTTCTCACTTGAGACCTGCAGCCTGGTACACCGAGGTTTTTTCAAGCTGCAGCAGTTGCACGGATGGAGGCCAGACCTGTTTCAAAATATGGTTCTCTTCCGCGAGCACCGCGCACATGAATCTGAAATGTTTGCAGTCGCCTCGAGCATGGAGGTCGGCTCGTTTTCAAAAGTGGTTCAGGCCTTTGCGCCGAGCACATGCGCCTAACAAAAACGCTTGCAGCAATTAGTTGGACTGAGGACGGCTCCTTTCAGACACGGGGTTCTCGCTTGACGTCCCCATCCTTGAAGGTTAGACGCTTGAACATCCGCGACAGCTGCAAGGGCGAAGTGCGGCTCCTTCCCAAAGTGGGGCACTCGCTGGAGGTTTCCACACAGTACATGTGCAGGCGTGTAGGCTTGTGGTTTTGGTGACTTGTAGCCGGACTCTCGCTAGACAGCTTGTGGTTCTCTTTGATCCAGCATGTTCGCATCATTAGCCCTCCGGCCGCTTGAGGCTCCGCCCGCCCGCGCCCTGTCTCCCCAATTAGGGCTACTCGCGCCCCGTTTAGCTCTTGACCGGAAGGGGCCCGCTCCCGACCCGCAGACCAAAAGGTTCGCATCAGTAGTTTTTTTTCAAGGCGGACCCTCTTCCGGATGACAGGACCACGGGGTGCTATCATTTGGGGTGGGCACTTCCTCTCATGAAGAAGAAGGCCCTCGGAGACTTCAAGGAACTCTCGACGGGAAGGTGTGTTGCAGCATCGTGACGCGTCCTGGGTGTCTTCTGGTTCCCTTCCTCTGTGAGAGGGAGGAGGCGAGGAGGCGAGAGAGGAGGATGAGGTTCAGCATGAGGGAAGCGGGTCCTGGAGAAATGATGTCCATGTTTTGTTGGGACGCTTACGGGTCCTGGGCCCGCGTCCATGGTCCCGGGGACCGTCATGGGGAAAGCCCCGGGGGGTCCAGGACCCGCTCCCCTCATGGCCCCTTCCTTCGTGGTGTGAGGTGGCGGAGGAGGAGGGAGGAGGCGGAACCCGGGGGCGCGCCAGAGTTCGGAGGCGAGGGGGGAGGGCAAGCTATAGGTGCGCTCGCGCCACGCCTGACATCAGATCGTGTTATTTAGTCAGCCCGCATAGCAAGGATGGTCAATTTTCCAGGGTTGCCCTTGCATCCTTCCCCGTCGGCCCATCCTTAGTGACTTTCGCTGGCAAGCCACGTACGAAAACACCGACATGGCCTTCCCAGGCCCTTGCATCCTTTCTGCGCATCCTTATCGTGCGGATTTACTGTAGGACCCGTTTTTCTCATTACGCCGCGTACGCCTTCTCCTTTCATGGCGTTGCGTGGCGGAGGAGGAGGGAGGAGGTGGAGCCTGGCAGGCTCCAAGGGTTCGGAGCGAGTGGGGGAGGGCAAGCTGGGTGCGCTCTCGCCACATCGGACATCTTACCGTGTCAGACCTCTCCCTCCCTGATTGTTCCTTCTATTCGCCATCGGGTATGATAACAGACCTGGCATACTCAAAAGGGCCCCATCGTGTTACGCGCAAACCGACACGGGGAGCTGTGTACATTGGTGGATGATGTGGCGGATGAGCGGGATAATGAGCAGAGGGAGGTGAGAAGGATGAGGAAGGAAGAGGACGAGCAGGAACTGCCGCAGCAGGAGCAGAAGAGCTGGAGGAGCAGGAGAGGGACAACGACGAGCAACCAATCGGATCCACAAATGTGGCCCGCGCGTAGGGTGAGAGCGCCATTCTTCATGACGGGGGCAACGCTTTGATCCTACATTGAGGCCAGCACTGCGGGTGGGACAACCACATACGAAAATCAGGCGAACCCAGGACAAGCGAACAACAATACGCGGAGGTGGTGCGCCACTCTGAAGGCGTCTTGGGGGGAAAGAGGAGAGTAGTATTCACATCGTGTCATTGTGGAGGGAGGAACATGTGGAGGCGGGGGCGGACGAGAGGGGGGCGGTAGAGGAAGGAAGGAAGAAAGGAAGTGGGGAGGGGGGGCGGCCGGGCGGGAGGGGGAGAAAGGGCGGGTGGACGGCCAGGGGACAGGGGGACGGGAGGGAGGGGGAGAGTCGGGCGGGTGGACGGGTGGACTGGGGAGGGAGACGTAAGCCGGTTGGTCATCGTGATGTGTAGGGGGGCGCCAGTTTGTAATGCAAGATGATTAATTCGCAAGTTGTGTTGGCTGCATTTTTTGATTGAGGTATTTGAGTGCGCAGGCCAGACATACGATATACGGTTCTCTTTCTCTCTCTCTCTCTCGCCCTCTGCATGTATACATGCACACATCCATCCATCCATCCATCCATCCATACATACATACATACATACATCCATACATACTTAGATACAGACGTACATACATGTGTGAACATTTATACATCTGTATACGCATATACACGCGGCCACCATTTATATTGATAAAAGAGAGAAAGAGAGAGAGAGAGAGCGAGAGAGAGAGAGAGAGAAAGAGAGAGAGACGCGAGAGTGAGGACGAGAGAGAGAGTGTGACGGATGGGGAGGAATAAAGAGACATCGAGAGAGAGATAGAGAGGGAGAGAGCGATGGAACGATATAGAGAGAGATAGAGGGACAGAGCGAGAGAGGGATGGACAGGGATAAGGGGAGAGAGAGAGAGAGAGGGAGGGAACACGACATACATACATACATACATACATACATAAATACATACATACATACATACATACATACATACATACATACATACATACATACATACATACATAAATACATATATTTTTATTTAACAATCAAGTACACATACACGTAGAGGCTTCTTGTGGCGGCAGCGTACGATCACAGTCGTTCTTGTTCCTCAGTCGCAGTCTCACCCCAGTTATCAGATCACCGTGCTTCTGTAATGCAGCACTCATGGATGCAACTGTCTGCTTCTGTGGGCGGAGTCTCCTGGGACCGTTCGATCATGGTCCATGACGAGTCGGAGCAGGCACCGAATGTGTGGCGACAGGCGAGCGCTTCCTCCATCATACCCCGAATAAGTGCGAATGTCTTGTGGCCGTGTCTTGTCCTGTTGCACATCGCTCATGCCGATGCCCTTTCCGCTGCTGCCCTCGGCACGCGACTGACCCGCCGTACTCTGGCTCGGGTTTGCGTTTGGATCCTCTCTTGGTCAGGGAATGTCGGTGGGGAGAGTGATGGTCAGGGGGGAGGCAGGGGAGAGTGAGGAGGTAGAGGAACAGGTAGAAGGAGACAGTGGGGTGACGGATATCGAGCGGCAAGATGATCAGTAGGACGTTTTGCTCATCATGCTGATGTTCCTCCTGCCCCCCCCTCCGCAAATAGAAGGTGCTAGATGGATTTTTGAATGACCTGAATTCTAGACGCTTCGCGTATCCCCACCAGCCCACCGGCCCATGGCCATCAGCCGCCCTCTATGACGGCTGACTGCGCGGTTGGGGACTGGGGACGGACGCAGACGCCTCCCCAGGCTCCACTCCCTTTGCTGTCTCCCGACAGCCACTTTGGTCGGCAGAGGGTAGTTGACTGGAATAGTCCTCCCACTGCGCACCACTCAGTTAACGGAGGTCCGTGTGCAGCCCACAGACCCCCCCTAGCACCGCGAAGCGGTAGTGTCGGGAATGCTAGAAAGGGCCATGAGGAGGCTAGTCAGCTCACTGATGCGGATTGCGCTGTCCACCCACCATGGGGACAGGCGCCTGTTCCGCCCAGCGCAGTGGCGGGTCTCCCCCCCATGAGACCGCCACTGTCGTGGGAAGTGGCACCCCTCTCCTCCTGCGTCAATTCATATGTGATTGTGGCTGTTGGCCGCGCCTCCCCTCCTCCTCCTCCTCTTCCTTCCCTCGCATGTGCACATTGCGGCTTTTGGCTGCATCCCCCTCTCTGCCCCGTGGGTCTCAGCGTATCGTGCCCGGTACCTGCGAGGCTGCAGTAGACCAGCCCTGGGGCCAGTGTGTCCTCGCTCATCTGATACGGTCCCGTCACTGGTTTCGGGTATGATGACGACACACCTGCCCCTTCCGGGCTGCAGTGTGGTCCGCGGAGTGGGTGCTCCGTTGGTGCTTTCTGTCGCCCGGCTCCCTCTGAGGTCAGATTCAGCCCTGAGTACACCCCAGCGCCTTCGAGCTAGCCGCGGCTGCAGCGTATCTCGGCGGTATTCGGCCGTTACCGCTTGGCGGCAGTACTGGCGCATGGGCCCTCGCGTCCTCGTCCATCGTTGCTTCCTGGCTGTGTCCATAGACGATGGCTGGCGCTCTGGCCCCACCATGGGCAACGGCGTGGATCGTGGAGTGGGGGTTCTGTTAAACCCCCACCCTTCTTCTGCCTCTGTCCCAGCCGGCCCCGCACACGGCGGTGGTACGGTCCTCGCGCTGAGTGGTTCAGCCTTCAACGCGTCGTCTCGGTTCTATCTGCATCTGGTATCCGCGAGTTGCAGTACACCGGCCCCGTGCCAGCGTGTTCTTGCTCATCGTTGCGACCCCGACCTGTCACTGGCATCGGTACGATGACGACACGCCGGCCCCCCCTCCCAGCAGTGGAGCGGTCCGCGGAGTGTGTGGGCGGTTCTGGTACCTGCAGTTCACCGACTCTTATTGTGGTCTTGTTGTGGCAGGTCCAGTCTTGGCTACACCCCTACGCCTTCGAGCTGGCTGCGGCTGCAGCGCACCCCCGCAGCCCTCGCCCGTTACCCGATGGCAGCAGTACTGACGCTTGGGCAGGCGTGTCCTATCATCGTGGCTTCAGACTCGTGAGTGGTTTCGGATTCGCTGGCTGGCCGGCCCCACCATGGGCAACGGTGTGGATCGTGGAGTGAGCACTCTGTAGGTTCCTGCCTCTTCTGCCCCTGTCTTAGCCGTCATCGGTACGGCTGTGGTACCCCGGTACTACCCGCCGGGATAGGTCGCCCGCGCGGACTGGCGCCGACAGGGCGACTCTCCGCTGCCGAATGAGGAGCATTTTGCTTATTGCACGTGCACTTGCATTCATTGCATGTTTTTACTGCAGGTGTGTTGCCTCTTGTAGTAATTAGCCTCGCCTGCTGGCCCAGTCGACGCCTTCCGCTCCGTGTCCGCCGCCTCGGAGCCGCGGACCAAAAGAGTATCCCCACCAGCCTCCCCACAGCCCCGCGGCTGCTTTGTGAGTGGGCCGGCCGGCTAGCGGCGCGTCTTGTAGCTAATTCGGCTTGCCCGTTGGCCCGGACACCCTGTTCGCCGCCTGCCTCTTCGCTTGCGGCCGCGACCAAGAAAGTACCCCCACCAACCCATCCAGAACGATGTCCAGGCGAGTTGAGAGGTGATCAGGGAAGTGCGGGAGCAAAGAGGGGGACGGCCGAATTGTGTGAAGGAGAGAGGGGGCGAAGGAGAAAATTTGATGGATGGATGAGGGAGTAGGGAGAAGAAGGATGAATAGGATGAATAGGATGATGAGGAGGAGGAGGAGGAGGAGGAGGAGGAGGAGGAGGAGGAGGAGGAGGAGGAGGAGGAGGAGGGGGAGGGGGAGGGGGAGGAGGAGGATGAGAAGGGATAGGAGAGGAGGGAGGAGGAGGAGGAGGAGGAGGAGGAGGAGAGCAAGCAAAAGGGCCAGAGGTCTCTTGGATGCTTCTCGGAGCCTCTTGGGGTATATCTTGGGCGTCTTGGGACGTCTTGGGGGTCTCTTGGCGGTCGTGGGGGGCTCTTCGGCGTCTTTGGTGCCTCGGGGGGGCCTCCTGGGGCCGCTTGGGATCATGTTGGGGGCCTCCTGGGGGCTTCTTGCGGGCCTCTTGGGGCCATCTTGGGGCCATCTTGGGACCTCTTGGGGCCTCCTGGGCGCTTCTTGGGGCCATCTTGGAGGAGATCGATCAAACAAGAAGGGAGCTTCAATTAGCGCCCCCCCCCCAAGAGGCCAAAATGGGGCCAAAACCATAGTAAAACCAATGCTTTTGGCTTCCTCGCCGAGGCCGTTTTGGACGCTCCGGCGCCTCGTGGAACCCTCCGTCCAGGCCCAGGGCAGGGGGTAGGGGGAGGGGTAAACCCCTCCCCGAAGGGGAAGAAGGAGGGGTGGAAGAGGAAACTCCCTAAACCACCTACGCCAAGAGGGCTGGTGGGATTTGTTGTTGCGTGGCCCTGTGGGTGTTTGAATGGACAGTTCGCATGGTCAGTGGAGGATGTTTGCAGGATGGCAGTGTGCTTCGTCAGACGTGCTTTGAAGGCGTATTGCAGGAGTCTTGCTGGCACCTTGAATCCGTCTTGACGGCGTCTTGATGGCGTCTTGGAAGCCTATTGGCCGCGTTTCGGATACGTCTTGGATGCGTCTGACGGGGACTCGCCGGCGAGCCCAGAGGGGGAAGCGAGAGTGGGCAGGTCTTCTCAGAAAGTGGCGTGGCTTCTCAGAAACCTTCAGGCCTTTTGAGAAACCGCCTATGGCTTCAGAGAATGCTTGCAACTTGCAGGGCTTCTCAGAGGGCGTGAGGGCTTCTGAGAAGCCCCGCCGCCCTCTGAGAAGGTCTACCCCCTCTCACTTCCCCCTTCTGAGCTCGCCGCCGAGAGACGGGACGCTACAGTCTCTGAGTTTTTTGGCGGGCGCTGCGCCGCGGCACCCATGCGCCCGCACGCCGCCACGCCTCCAGCTCCGCCTCGGAGACCGCCCCCCCCCCCCCCGCGGTGTTCGCGGCCCTTTGCATCCGCTGGCGGGGCAGCGGGGCAGCGGGCGCACGGTCTGCCTGCGAGCGACCGCGCGCGCTCGCGCGCGCGCCACACCGCGTCGAAGCAGCGCCGTGCCACGGCAGCCACCGGCGTGGCCGCCGAGGGCGGCGCGCGGGCTGCGGGCACCCAGGGGTGCGGCGGAGCAGGTGGTCCGCCTCGCCCTCTGAGCTCTGCCTCGGCCCACTCGGCGGAGTGCAGGCGCAAGCGAGGGGGGCTGGCCCTGGAAGAAGCGTCCCGCATCGGAGAAGAAGCCTTCCTGCCGGGGCGGTCCCCTCTAAGACTTGGCATCGCTCGGACGTGTGCGTTCTTCCTTTGGCGAGGACCATCGAGGAGCATCCTTGATCATGTGTCGAAAAAACCACGCACGAAACCGAAAAAAAAAATAGGGAATGGACGTCCGAGCGATGGCGAGAAGACGCACCCATGCCTTCTCGGACGGCTGCCCACCTCCAGGCGCCTTTTCCCATGGCGCGCCGCCGACCCACGTCAGGCACCGGCGTCCACCGCGGGGCGATCGCCCGAGTGCCCTGCGGTTGTCTTCGGGGAAGCCCTTGCGGGCAGCGGCCAGTGGCATGTGCCCCCGAAAAAGTTGTTCGTCATACCACCACTCCACCTTCCCCCTCGTTCGCCACACACGCGGAGGCGACTTCCATCCACGAGGGAGATGTCTCGTGCATGGCCTACAGCCAGCACCTGGGCCTGATCGCCACGGGGTCCTCGGAGCGAAATGGGTGGCTGCGGGCTTGCGGACGGAGGGATCGGCAGTTCCAGATTATGCATTCATTGCTGGCTCGGAATGAGGAAGCGGCGGAGGACATCGTTTCTTGATGAGCAGGGGTACTTGGCCGTTTCTTGACTCTCCGTGTATCCCTACCAGCCTATCCAGAACTGATTCCATGGCGATCTCTCTTGTGCAGATAAGTGTCAGACAGCACAGCGACACATAGAAAGGGCAGCTTCCAAACCGAAGCTCGGAGTTTGGAAATTAGAGTCATCCCGAGCATTGGCCAACCTGGGGACGTGTGGGAGCCTCCTGGAGGCTCCCTGGAGCATTTGAACCCCATCGGATGCCGAACCCACGAGAAGGCAGCAACCACTGAGACTCCCTACATTGTTTGACGATTGTGGCACACTTGTAGTTATTGAATCGCTTCGCTCATTCCGCCGGCTAATTTTCGCGCACTGGGAGGCAGTGCACAGGAAGCTCTTGGGAGTTCTCCGAGGCTTTCGGGGACGTCTTAACCTGGAGCCCTTTTGGGGCTCTTGGTGGCCTCTTGGCGGCCTCCTGACCGCCTGTTGGGAGCCTCTTGGGGCCTCTTCGAGACCTCTGGGGACCTCCTGGGGGCTGCTTATGGCCGAGGGCTCGACATGTTGTTTCGTGCTCCCCCTCTGAGGCCTCTCTTGGGGCGTTCTTGGGGCCTTCTTGGGCCGTCTTGGAGTCGTCTTGGGCGGTCCTGGAGCCCTCTTGGGCCGTCTTGGGGCTTTCTTGGGGCCCTCCTGGGCCCTCTTGGGGCGATCTTGGGGACCTCTTGTGCCGTTTCGAGGCGTCGGGAAGCCGAAAAAGGATAATCAATTCATTGTACCTCTTGGGGCCCTCTTGGGTGTGCGTTTGGAAGCCTCTTGGGGCGTCTGGGGGCAATCTTGGGCATCTTGGAGCGATCTTGTGGCATACGGGAGCCCTTTTGTTCTATCTTGGGTGCCTCTTTGTGGCCTCTTGGCCCTTCGCTTTCTGGAGGGCCTCGGGAGCGGCGCCCACCCGACCCGACCCGGCCGGGGATCTCTGGCCCGAACCGGCTGGGGACCGCCCGGCATATTTTTCGTCCGGGGGCCCCCAGGGGCCGCTCCGCGCGCGCGCGAAGTAGAAATACTGTACGCAGTTACCGGAAATACTGAACGCATTTACCCTAAATCTCAGGCGCACCGCGCTGCGATGCGCGGTACGCCTGCTGGCGCGCGAGTTATTATTTTGCGCGCGCCCAGCCCGCGCGCGGTTCCCATGTCGGTGAGATGGGCCATGCCGACGGCAAGCGTCTCTGAACCGATTCGGTGATTGCTTGACTGAGGGCGCGCGTTGAAGCCGGGCCACGATGTTGGCTCCCGCGTTTGCGCTTGTATTTCTGAGATTGCGGCGATGCAAACTTAGGTTGCGCTCTGTACTTGCTCCAAAAGTGCGGGTTCTTTGGACACTGCGCGGCGCACTGGGGAACGCTCACTTTTGCAGGGTATTTTGGTTTGTACCTTAGATCTTATCTCGAATCCTACTTTGGCCGTTTTCCCCATTTCCTCTCTGTCGCAGGCCGTGCCGGTCATAAATCTTAGCACGCCTCTTTCCCGCTGGGCCAGCGAATTCATGCTCGGGAAGCTCCTGGGCCACCTCGAGCCGTCCTGGGACCGTCTTGGGGCCACCTGTTAATGCTGGAGGCCACTGCAAAACGCCAGATTTTCCATCTTGCGCCATCTTGGAGAACACCTTTGGGCCGCCTGGGCCCTTCTTGAAGCCATCGCGGGCCAAGACGGGCCCTCCGACACCTCGCGCCCCTCCCCCCCGCCGGTCCAGACCCCCTGGGGAGGGGGGGGGCGGCGTCAAGCTTCGCACGAGCAAGCCGCAAGCTGTCTCGCTCACTCCCACCTCTCCCCCAACAGATAGCTCCCACCCGAGGCCCAGCAGAGACTCGGCGCAGGCAGCGGCCGTCACGCACTTGGCCGCCCGGTGCGCCAGGTGGCCCAGAGCACCCTGCGCTCCCGGTGCCCCCCCGTGCCACAGGCGCACGGTGTTCCAGGCGCGCTGCGACTGCCAGGTGCGCCGAGTGCGCGACGCGCGCCGAGCGCGACAGGTGCGCCCAGCGCGCGTGACCACGCTTCGGGCACGTTGCCGACCGCCCACGGGTGCGGGGCATTTGGCATCGCTCGGACGTGTGCATTTTCCTTCGGCGAGGACCATCGAGGAGCATCCTCGACCATTTGGCGGAGAAGCCACACAGGAAATGGACGTCCGAGCGATGGCGAGGGCACGCCCACGGGCTCGCGTATCCGCCAGATTGCGCCTCGGTGCCCGAACCGCGAGAGGGCATGGACCTCGGCATGCTCGTCGCTTGCGAGCCACGAGAGGACGACGAGGGGACGCCCACCGTGGCAAACCCCGGGGCCCGCAGGGCGTGGCCAGGCACGCGTGCGCATGCGCCGATCCCTGAGCTCAGGAGTCTCCCAGAGGGGGACGCCGCCCACGGCAGGGCACCTCCGACGGAGGAGGAGGAGGAGGAGGAGGAGGAGCAGGAGGAGGAGGAGGAGGACACGGAGGAGAGAGCACGCGGAGTCTCGCCTGAGGAGGAGGAGGAGGAGGAGGAGGATACCGCGCGGAATCTCGCCAGTAGGTGGTGATTTGTTCACAGCGTGGGCCCCGGAGGTCCTGACCTTCTCCCCCTTTGGACCGGCTCTGCCTGCCGCGCCGCTCTTGGACATTCACCTGGCCCTGGTTGGGGCCCACCCGGCCGCCGAAAATGGAGCAATCTCCCGTGGCTGTTTTTTTCGGAACATGATCAGGAGGGAAAGAAACGCACAGACACGATTAATCTTCGATTTCCCAGAAGGTATACGAAAATATGGGAAGTGGGGGGGAAGACAGAAACCCAGAAAATATAGGAAATATAGGGGGATCCTTTTATTTGTGTGTATGTATTTGTGTGCCCTGGGGCCCCTTCACAGGAGGAGGTCTCGGGGCCCCCCTGGCGGCGCCTCCGCTTCCGCCCCTGGGCGCGCTTCGCGCCCCGGAGTGTGGAGGCGAGCGCCGATCCCAGAAGGCAGCGCGCACCTGCGCAAGCTTTCAGTCGGGCCTGTCCCCCTACAGGGGGATTGTGACCCCCCATCGTGGCCCCCATCGTAATTGTGTAAAGCTGTTTTGAGTCTTCTTCCGCAAGGCTGGCTTCTCTCTCTCTCTCTCTCTCGTCTCGTCTCTTTCAGCATCTACACATATATATATATATATATAGATATATCGGAGGTTGGGGGTGAGATCGCAGTGGAACAGAGACCCCGAGAGCGCGAGAGGAATGAACCCGCCGTTGCTAGGGCGAAGTCAAGACAAATGATGCTCCCCCTCCCGCCCGTCCAGCGGTGGCCCGCGGTGTCCCGCGGTGTCCCGTGGTGTCCCGTGGTGTTTGCCGTTGCTTGGTCGAAGTCAAGACAGATGATTCTCCCCCTCCCGCCCGTCCGGCGATGGCCCGCGGTGTCCCGTGGTGTCCGTGGTGTCCCGTGGTGTCCGCCGTTGCTAGGGCGAAGGCAAGACAAATGATTCTCTCCCTCCAGCCCGTCCGTCCGTCCGTCCGTCCGGCGGTGGCTCGCGGTGTCCCGCGGTGTCCCGTGGTGTCCCGTGGTGGCCCGTCGTGTCCCGTGGTATCCCGTTGAGTGAGATCGATAGTGAGATCGATTGAGTCAGATGTTGGTTTCCCCCCCTCTCCCCCCCCACACAACCTCCTTATCACCCGAAGGGTGGTCGTACATATATTTATATATACATATATGTGTGTGTGAATGCGTATGTACAAGACTGCAGTGGCGCTTCGCGCCATGCACTTTTTTGGTGTCTGAAGTTTTCATGCTGGCGGAAGGGCAGGAATGCAAACTCAAAATTTAGCCATAATTCTTTGCTGCCCTTTTTCCGACATGGTTTATCTGATAGTATTTGATAATTCTCTCGAGTTTCCTCTTCCTCGTCCTCATGTTCACCCTGCCCTGCGACTCCTTCTCCATCATCAGCTCTTTTTGCGGAGGCTCCTCCTTGGAGAGACTCTTGAAGGCTTCGCGAAAGTTTCAAAGGGCTTCTTGGGGCTTTCTGGAAGTCTCCTGGGCGCCTTCGGGGAGCCTCTGGGGGCTTCTTCGGGCCACCCTGCTTCAACCGCGGTATCCCTGAAGGACCGAGTCACGATTTGGAATGCTTCGGGGGCATATTGGGGCCATCTTGGGCCGTCATGGTGCTCTCTTCAGGCCATCTTAGGTCGCTGTTGGGCCGTCTTGGGGCTCTTTTGGGCTGCCTGGAAGCCCGTTCGGATAGTTTTGGGGCGAAGTTCGGGCCTCCTGGGCGGCCTCGGACGCACGGAAGGCCGAAGCAAAGAGCATTCCCAAGATCTAACGACAACCCATGGGAAGTCAATGCATGCCCGTATCGTAAGCCTCTGGGGTGGCTTCTCTGGGTCGTCTTCGGGCGACTAGTGGGTGCCTGGGGCCTCTCGGGGCCCTCGGCCGCCCTCGTGACCGATTTAGGCCCCCTTGCCTAGGCCCAGCAGGGGCTTCCAGGAGCTCCGGAAAGACTGGGGGGCCTTCTTCAGGGGCGTCCAGGGGGCCCCTGGGGCCACGGATCCTGGGGGTCTGGGTGCAGGGGGGGTGTCCCCCACCGCTCTCGGGGCCTATAATTACCCCAGCAAAGCAACCTAACAGCGATGCGTAGAAGCATAGCTGGAAACATTGCCTGTGGTATTCATGTAAGAGCGCTGTTGTAGAATTCTGGTGTTCTCGCAGTCGCATTCGGATTCGCAGTGGCAGTCGCAGTGGCAACATCAGCGGCAGTCGCAGTGACACTGCCAGTAGTTGCAGTAGCAATAGCTACACTAGCAGCAGCGACAGCAGCAGCAGTAATAGTAACAGTAGTAGTAGCAGTAGAAGTAGTAGTGATGGTAGTAGTGGTAACAGTGAAGTAGTAGTTGTAGTGTGTGGAGTGAACGAGTAGGAGTGATGGGAGCAGTGGTAGTAGCAGTAGAAACACTGCTTTCGATAACGGTATCTCCAAATGAGATCTTTGTACAAATGCATTGAGGTCTAAACAAGACACTGCTATCAACGGATGTGATTCCAAACGAGACACTGCTATCAACGGGTTGAGCCTCAAACGACACACTTGCATCAATGAGTGTAGCTCCAAAACAGGCACTCCCATGAATGGATTTAGTGTGATGTCGTAGTAGTAGTAGTAGTAGTAGTAGTAGTAGTAGTAGTAGTAGTAGTAGTAGTAGTAGTAGTAGTAGTAGTAGTAGTATGGGCACGGACCCGTAAGACCTGAGTCTCCACCGGGGTGTTCGGCGAAGCCATTGGTGATGATGATGTGATGATTGAGGAGGATGATAGGATGATGACCGCGCTACTTGGATTTGTTCTGTCCGTCTTTCTCGGCCTCCAGCCAAATCTTGGAAGACCATCTCGGATGCCACTCTCGAGCATCAGCAGGTCCTGGTCGACCCTGTTCTGCGCCTCCTCAGCGAACCCTTCCCTGGGGTTTGGAATGCCCTCCGCCTCCGCGATGCGAGTCTTTGTTGCTCCGCTTGCTTGAAGGCCTGGAGCTCAGCGTCCTGCTCCTGGGAGAACTGGTTGGCCTTCCGTGCTTTCCGGACTTTCTCTGCCAGCTGCCGCTCTGCGAGGCTACGCCCGGCATGCTCCTTCGGTTGGCGGCCGAGGTCTCGCTCTTGCTGCATGAGCTCCTCGGTCTTGTCTCGTTTTTGCTGCATGAGCTCCTCGGTCTTCTGCTTCCGCTTGAGCTCCTCGGTCTCCGTCCGCTGATCAGCACAGCCCAGGGCCCGCAGTTCATGCAAAATGTCTTTGGGGATGCGGTCGCGATGGTCCGAGAAACGTTTGGCCAACTTGTTTTCGGCCCGTTCTTGTTCGGACGTTCCTTTATTTCGCTTCGGTATCCGGCCGGACTGCTTCACGTGCTCGACGAGCGTTTGCAGAGGACCGCTCAATGCAGCACGCTGAGGAGCAGCGCTGTTCCCTGCCGCAGGCTGAGGAGCACCGCTGTTCAATGCAGCAGGGTCAGGAGCACCGCCGCCAGACCGAGAACTATCAGCATGTCCTGGCATTAAGGTGCGCAGTAGGCGCTGCGCAGTTCCTTTGAAAGGAAATCTTCGAAAGCAGGGCTGTAGCCAAGAAGGCTACGGGGACGGTGATGATGATGAAGATGATGAAGTGGAAGGGCACGAAGTGGCGTACAGTTGGTTCCGGGCATTCAAAATGTAGCCTGGGAGTAGAGTTCTGGGAAGTGGAAGAGTACGAAGTGGCCTACAGTTGGCTCCGGGCATTCAAAATGTGGCCCTGGAGTTGTGTTCTGGGAAGTCCAAGAGCACGAAGTGGCCTACAGTTGGCTCCGGGCATCCAAAATGTGGCCCGGGAGTGGAGTTCTGGGAAGTCGAAGAGCACGAAGTGGCTTACAGTTGGCTCCGGGCATCCAAAATGTGGCCCGGGAATGGAGTTGTGGGAGAGCACGAAGTGGCCTACAGTTGGCTCCGGGCATTCAAAATGTGGCCCGGGAGTGGAGTTCTGGGAGGTCGAAGAGCACGAAGTGTGCGACTGTTTGCTTAAAACGAGGCCGGTCCTCGCTTGTCCGGCTCCCGCCCAGACCCCCCTGGGGAGTCATCAGATGTTCTCTTTTGACCCCAGTAGAAACCTATCAGTCTTCGCTGTTGGGTAAAAAAAAGGAACATTTATGTATGCATATGTATGTATGTATGTATGTATGTTTGTATGTATGTGTATATATACATATATATAGATGTATATGTGTATGCGTACAGCGTTTTTGTTCTCCTTCTACTCCTCCCTGTTCTCGCCGCCCGCTCCGAGGACTGCGTCATCGCGGTCCGGGACTACGCGCGGCTGCGAGGCCGCGGGGCGGGCCGGCAGTCGACGAGACACAGCCTGCACGCATCACAGCCTTTCGGAGGTCCGCGCGGAGTTTTTGGACCAGTGCTCGGCCCCCGTGGCGGCGCTGATGTCTTGGATCGGCGCAAGGCGATCACCGAATTGCGCACGCTGTGTTTTTCCAATCCTTGTGTTTTCCCAGGCTCAGGCTGTACTCCACAGCCTTAGACCCCCACGGGTCGGCGGATATCAAACATTGGGCCTCGAATTGGTATGCTGTTTCGTAGTTTGACAGGTTGGCCAGGCCGACGCGAAGCCGTCGCACATTCAAAGTTGCTTCCTCCGACAGAGAAACAGCAAATACCCGAAAGGGGGTCTTACAAGTATATGTGTATATATATATATAGGTATATACATATATCCCCCCCACACACCACTCCGCTTGTTGTCGTCCTCGCCCCTCCCTCTCCTCGTTCTCCTCCCCGTCCTCCTCCCCGTCCTCCTCATCCTCCTGCTTGTCTTCCTCCTCTTCATCTTTACACTTGTAACCTCGGATTGTGTCAACAAGTGCATGGTACCAATGCGACATTAGAAGGTGCCGCAGTGCCGTTGGCCACGGTGCCCAGGTTCTTTTGATTCGTTGGCCCAGCCAGTGCGGTCTGGACCCAGAAGGCCCTTTGCCACACGCCACATCGGGCCTCCGTGCCCTGCATGGTGGTGTTTCCAGGCAACTGGGCCCACTGACGGGGCGAAGGTGCCCCAGAGCCATATCATCTCAAGTCCTCCTTTTCCCTCTTCCGCGCTGGTCGCTGCCTCCATCCTCCTTGGCTTAAGTCGGGCCTGTCCCTCTACAGGAGGAACATCCAAAAATAGTCAAAAAATAGTTTGGACACGATTTGTGGACTATTTTTGTAAATTTTAGGTGGTATTTTTTCGAGTTCGCCCAATCTCCCCCTGTAGGGGGACACGCCCGACTTCATCATTGGCTCGCCCCTTCCCCGCGTTGCACGCGCGCCCTCTCGCCGCGAGGCCACGCCTACCTCCTGGGCCACAAGTGCCACGTCAACTGCCTGGCCTTCGTGGAGCCCTTCAGCCTCCTGGCATCGGCCGTCGGGGGGGCGCGCGCGGCAGGGCCGGCGGGGCCTGCGGGGCGCAGGGAGCGACGTGCCGGTCTGGGGTTTAAGTCGGGCCTGTCCTTCTACAGGGGGAATATCCAAAAATAGTAAAACAATTGTCTGGAGACTTTGAGTATTTTTTGGCCATTTTGGATTTTTTTTATATATATATATATATATATATATATATAAAAAAAAAAAAAACCGTCGAAAATCCCCTTGTAGGGGGACACGCCCGACTTAAGTCTGAGGAGAGAAGTTGCGCCTCCACCCGCACAGGGAGGCCTCGGGGCCCTGGCGGCTTCCCTGCCTGATCGTCTTGCGACCCTCGACTCCCTCGTACAGTCGGGGCGTTGACCTAAGGAGCCCTAAACAAGGAACGGGCCCCCGTTTTTCCATGAGTTAAGCTTTGATTCCCATCGACCTCCCCAACGAGAAGGGTTCCTTCTTCAGCGCCCCGACTGTAGCCGAATTCTCCCGAATTCTCCCCCCGCCCCCTTGTGGGGGTGGGCCACAGAGCGAGCTTCGGCTCTCGACCACCCACACTCGGCGCACCCCTCTCGGGATGGAGGGCAGGTGGTGGCCAGTGGTGCTCTTCTGCTCCCCTGCCGGCAGAAGGTTGCGTAGGATGCAGGAGGTGGTAGAAAGTCGCCGCCAAAGGTGGCGCTGGGTGTCGAGACAGCCCTGCGCCACCCTGGTCAGAGGCCCGCTACTGGCAAGCACCTCGTGACTATGGGACGACACCACAGGGCGCAATGCCAATAGGGCCATCACCTGGGGGGGGGTCGCCACCTCCTGGAGGGAACGCCGCACTTCTTCGAGGGAGTGGACCCCAAAACACACACTCTTTTGATTCGCGGGTCGAGAGCGCACCTCTTCCGGTCGAAGCTAGAGGAGGCGGAGGACGCGGAGGGGTAGGAGGAGCAGGAGGAACAGTTGGCCCTGTCTCTTGCACCTGGGGTCCTTGATCCAAGCTGCCGCCGTGAAACGAGCAAGCGCGGAACAGTCAGAGTATTCATCTCTGCCTAATGATGAAGAAGCAGGTCGGTTGCTCTGTCCAACTGTGCCCTCCCAGGTGGCCACGGTTACCGCCTAGTTGCAGAGCCTCCCAACAATAAGATGCTGAACTTTGTACTTGGAGGTCCGTAGCCATTGGCTCACGCAATTTCACAAGAAAGCTGTCGCAGCTTTCGACCAGCCAGTTTCTCCAGCAAATTCGCCAAGCCTTTGCATGATCTGGGCCGACGCAACATGAAGGCCGTTGTTTTCGTCGCGTGCCTTGGTGTCTTGGTGTCTGCAACCTCGGTTCTGAGCCCAGAGAGACCGATGCCGTCGTCCATGGATCGGAAAGGGTCGCGCAATTCTTTGATGAGAAAATCCGTCCCGATAAGTGCGGACGGACACGTCCAAGTGCAAGCGTCTGAGGCCACTGCGCTTCTACAAGCCGAAGGATCGCTGGTCCGTGGCAGAAAGATTGGGACGTCGATTCTACAGCGGGGCCGGCGTATCCAGTCAATTGCAATTTTTATGCAAGTATTCAATACGGCTCTATGGTCTGAGTTGCAGCCGTGCATACGGAACATCATTTCCGCCAAGGAGGGTCGCATGGTCTCCTTGTACATTGCATTGGCGGGGTCAAATCAGACAATCCAGGCCGACGCAGCACAGATGCAAGAGGAAGGTGGCCTTACCGAGAGTTATGTGAACATCGTGCAAAACATAGGTGCCGACATTGGCGCGTTTCTGCAACAGGTGCAACAACATTCAGCATCCGCGAGGAAGTCCGATGTGTTCTTCAAGCTGCATACCAAGAGTCTAGGCCCGTGGCGGAACTTGATGCTACAAGGTTTATGCGGGAGCCCTCGTCAGGTAACGCGTATCCTCGCTCTGTTCGAGAACGACGGAATTGGTATCGTGGGTCCCAAAGGGTTGACCTTTACAAGCGACAGGGTGCCTGCTGGCCGCACAGACACGACACCTATTTATGTGATAAACACTGATTATTGTTTCGGGTTGCCTGGTGCACCATTGGGATTAATCCCAGAGTACGAGGAAACATGGAAACGCATATACGCTGGGGAGAGAAGCCCTCCAACAGTTTGGACCCATTGTGCTGGAACATGGTTTTGGTCACGCTCTGGTCCGATTCTCTCAGATGAACATCTTCTGGCCGCAATTCCAAAGTTTCTGCAGGCTTGGGGGACTGGATACGCTGGTCATTATGAAGATTGTTTGACATTCGATTGTAGAAGCCTTTATGCTTTCGAGCGAGTGTTGCCAACGATTGCCAGGCATAACCGTTCTGTGGTCGAAGCCCAAGACCTCGCGAGCTAGTCATGTGTTTCTCACACGGTTTGCACTTGCTGCGGTGCCTATTCACTGCACGTTCTGCCCGTCCATGGATTGGTCGGCGCCCTCGCCACGAAGCTGGACGAGGCTGGCCCCCCGCAGGAGGTGGAAGGCAAAGCTCAGGAAGGAAAAAAACACAGACACAATGAATCGTCCACTCCCCAGGAAAATATGGGAAACTATGGGAAGTGGGGGGGGAAGACAAGAACCCAGAAACTATGAGAGAATATGGGATATATTATTATTTGTGTGTATTTATTTGTGTGTCCCAGGGCCCCTTCAAACAAAACGTCGGGATCCCAGCTCTGACTCGGATGCCCGAGAGGTGTCGGACAGCGAGCTCCCAGCTCCGTCCACAGCCCGGAGCTCCAACGTCTTGCAGCAAACCATATATTCCCAGGGCAGTGCTTGCACTCGGGGGCCCCTGCTTGGGTTCCCTACAGTGCCGTTTATAATACATGCTCCGCGTGCGAATCATGTATTAAAAATGAAGGCTATTAATATTCAAAACAACGATGAGTTCATGCATAAATTTATTCATATATTAATCATGCATGGGGAACTCTTATATTATTAAAATCCGCTGTATTAAGAAAAAACTGCCCTGTACGGAGTCGGAGGGGTTCGCCGAGGCTTCTCCTGGTGCCCTGTGGGTGGCCAGTCGTGGGCAGCTCCTGGGTGTCCGTTGCGCTGGGTGGGTCCACCAGGGTTTCGCCTCATGCCCAGTTGGTGGCCCGTGGGCGCCTCGTGGACGCCCTGCGCGCTGGGTTAAGCTGCCAGGGTTTCGCCTGGCGCCCGGTTGTGGGGACGGTCATGGGCGTGCGCTGAGTGGGTCCGCCAGGGTTTCGCCTAGTGCCTGGTTGGTGATCGCCCGTGGGCGCATAGTGGGCGCCCGTGCGCTGGGTGGGTCCGCCGAGATTCACCCGGCCCCTATTAGCCGAAAAGGTCGTTGACCGGAAAATAGGCGTGGCCGAAAAATTAACCGAAACCATAGTGCGACCGAAATTGTGACCGAACTTGGAAGTCATATGAAAATCATATGTAGTTTTCGAGTCAAATTTTGCGGTCACACTCGGGTGCATCAGAAAAGTTCGGGCGCTGGTTTCGGTCACACTCGGGCGCATTTTCGGGCACTCTTTCGGTCACTACTCCCCTGTGACAGAGACGAGGCGCCCCTTATGCTGACGGGCTCCGCCGAGGTTTTACCTGGTGACCGCCGCCAGACGCTCACGTGGGGTCCGCTGTTGATTGCACTACATAGCTTGCATCACATGCATCACATGACTTCGACCACATAGATTGCGCCACAGCTTGCACCACATATATTGCATCACATATATTGCACCATCGCCTGCACCTCATGGCTTTCATCACATCAACTGCACCAGACAGCCTTTACCACATATATCGCACCACGCAGCTTGCACCACATAGCTCGCACCACATACATTCTCGTTTCGAAAGAATCATCGAATCCACTTCCCTCTCGAGCCCAGACCACCCCCCTTTTGGATTGCAAATCCGCCTGCACGCGTTCATCTTTAAAGGTCATTTCTCAAGATTTCTGGGCACACACATGCCACAAGGTCCACACGCACTCGCACATTTCGAACTCATACCAAGCACATTCGTATTGCAAGCCTCTCAACTTACAAGCATGTTAGCCAGCGCGGGCCCCAAACAGGAAGTTATTGAACAACGGATGTGCAAGTGTGTGGTACAAGCTATGTGCTATGTGACATGGTATAAGCTATGTGCTGCAGTCCACGTGGTGCAAGCTAGAGGCGGCAACGAAGCGGCAAATGGCGGCAATGTGGCGAAACCTCGCCGAACCCACCCAGCGCATGAGGCGGCAACGAGGCGGCAACGGGCGGCAACGTGGCGAAACCTGGCCAGACCCACCCAGCGCACGAGGCGGCAACGAGGCGGCAACGTGTGGCAACGTTGCGAAACTTCGCTGGACCCACCCAGCTCGCGAGGCGGCAACGAGGCAGTAACGAGGCGGCAACGGGCGGCAACGTGGCGAAACCTCGCTGGACCCACCCGGCGCACGGGGTGGCAACGAGGCAGCAACGGGCGGCAACGTGGCGAAACCTCGCTGAACCAACCCGCACGAGGCGGCAATGAGGCGGCAACGGGCTGCAACATGTAATAATCCCACATGCAAGCGCTGCTCGGGGATCAACAGAACGCATGCTATGCTATTCCATCACTCATCTTGCAGATGTTCTGCCCGCTGAAGACACAGGGCAACCATTTGACTTTAGCAATCTCGTCCAGGACCCGCATTATCATGTCACCACGCGGTGCATCCACGTTGATATAGCATGCGCCCAGCACACGAATCCGTTTGACAAAAAATCCATGCGAGGCACATGCGCCTTGTCAAACTGTGCCAAAACAAGTGTCGGATGTGTCCAACACCATGAGTTGTCGAAACGTTTCAAGATCGAGCTCTTCAACAACATATTACAATCACCAACCGTTGTTTTAAGAACAAGCCTGCCATATTTCCTGTTTTTTTTCTGCGCGCGCACTGGTCTCATCACCCTCATCAGCGCCATCGCATCATCGCCGCGATCGTCATCGTCAATCGCTGCCATTGCCTTCCATCATCAGCACACCCACCTTAAATCACCAGCACATTAAAACCACCATCGTCATCGCTACCAGCATCGGCACCGTCCTTGGCCTCTTCGTCGTTGTCATTGTCGCCACCACTGTCGCTAGTACCATCACGGTTGCTGCCAGTGTCGACGTCATGATGTCACGACCGCCCATGTCACCGGCCCCATGAAGCAAGCGCCCACGCGATAGCGCGGCCTTTGAGACGCGTTGGGAAATTCCCATAGCGGCCGCACCAGTTGTGCCAAACCAGCTGGCCGATCTGCGCGGGAGCGTGCGCTCGCAAGTGCGGCCGTAGAGACGCGTTAGCAAGTTCCAGCAGGCAGCCGTAACCATGGCCGCATGGGTTTTGCCGAACAGTTTGCGGGCGGGAGGTTGGGACGTTTGCCGGGCAGGGGAGTTGACAGTTCATTGGTGATAGAATTTATTGTTCCACATAGATTGCGCCGCGCAACCTGCACCGCACAGTTTGCACCACGTAGATTGCGCCACACAGGATGCTCCAGATGACGTGCACATTCAGACTGCAGTCGCATACTGTTCGGGGTCCACCATGGCAAGCTCTTGTTTCACAGTTTACCACCTCGGGGGGTACGACTCGGGCCCTGGGTCGGTCAACAAAACAGCTCGGGAGGAAACTTTCGCCCCAGGGAAAAGGCGGGAAGCCGTGTTGATGAAATTGTGCCACCGGATGCTTGGATTTGTTTCACCCTCCTCTCGACCTCGTTGTCCTCCTACGTAGTCCGCGATTGCGCATATGCCCCAGTTCGCATGCGTCCGCGCTCCGACTACCAGCAAGCTTGGGTTGTAGGCGCAGGTCGGCGCATGCCTCCCGTCTTGTCGCGTCGTGGAAGCCACCCTGTCCTCGGAGGGCACGTCCCCAGAATACGGCACGGAGGCGCCGCGGATCGGAGGCGTCGAGGATGTGAGCGCGTGGGCCGCCTCGGGGGGGGGCTCGCCTTCTGCGCGCCCCCCCTTCGGTGGGAGGCGGCGGGTCCGCCGGCGGAAGCAGCGCGGCGGCGAGCGCAGGGCCTCGTCCCTGCTCGGCTCGGGGCAGGTGCGCGCGCGGGGGCGGGGCCCGGCCGCGCGTGCGGGCGAGGCGGCGGCGGGCTGCCCCTGCCGGGGGCCGAGGAGGAGAAGGAGGAGGAGGAGGAGGAGGAGGTGGAGGAGGAGGAGGAGGTGGAGGAGGAGGAGGAGGTGGAGGAGGAGAAAGAGGAGGAGGAGGAGGAGGAGGAGGAGGAGGAGGAGGAGAAAGAGGAGGAGAAAGAGGAGGAGGAGGCGGAGGAGGAGGAGGCCTCGTGGGGAGGCGGCGCGCCCGCCGGTGGCCGCGGGCCGTGCCGCGGGCGGCCCGTGCCCACGCCTGGCGCGGGCACGGGGGGGCGTCGTGGCGCGGCGGGCGTGGCCTGCAGGGGCCCACGGGGGTGGTGCCACAGCTGTCGGCCGTCCCGCGGTGGTCGCGCGGTCTGTCTCGTGGTTGTCCCGTGGCTGCGTCTTCCAGGAGACAGGCTGTGCGGGGGGAGCGGTCGTGCGTTACTCGGGGGTGGAAAAGAGGGGGGTGATGACTAGGGGGGGGTGGATATCATGGCGGGGGCCATGATATTTCCCCAGATTTCATGGCGCCTCTTCTTATCGTAGTGGCCTTCGGCCAGTGCCGCCGATCCGGGGCGCTCCGACTGATGTGATCCTTCTTCGCCCTCGTCCCTCCTCTCTTTTTCCCTCCCCTCCTCTCACTCAGCATTTATCGAAGACGCCTACGGCGAATCACCGCCGCCCCCTGCCTTTTTGGAAGCGCCTATGTGGCCGAACGTTGAGGCCAGACCTGCCAAGCTATCGGACCACGTGTTCCCCGAATCGGTTTGGAAAGCCTTCGGGGAACACGTGGGCATCTTGAAGGTCATCTTGGCCGTCTTGGAGGCCTCTTGGGCAAGCTTTGGGCGATCTTTGGGGCTTTTTGGGCCGTCTCGGGCCAGCTTCGAGCCAACTTCGGCCATCTTGGTGGGTTCCTGGCACGTCTGAAGCCGTCGGAAGCCGTTTGGGGGGCCTCTATGGGCCGACTTGGGGCCCGCTTGGAATGCTCCAGGGCCGTCTTGGAGGCCATCTTGGGCGTCTGGGAGGCCATCTTGGGCGTGTTGGAGGCCTCTTGGGCCCTCTTGGGGCCCTCTAGGGGCCATCTTGGAGGCCACTTGGGCCATCATGGGGCTCTCTTGGGGGCCTCTTGGGCGATCTTGGGGGCTTCTTGGGCCGTCTCGAGCCGTCGGAGAGCCGAAAAGGCGCAAATGCCAGAATCCTTCAAAAACCAAGGAAAATCAATGATTTTGGCCTCTTCGGACTCTCCTGGAGGACCTCTTGGAGGCCTCTTGGGCCGTCTGGGAGGCCTCTGGGGGGCCTCTTGGGCCGTCTTGGGCCGTCTTGGACTCTCTTGGGCCGTTTTGGAGGCCGTCTTGGACCATCTCGGGCGGACTTGGAGGCCATCTTGGGCCATCTTCGCGATTTTTTTAGGATGTCCCGAGCGAAACGGCCGTTTTTTGGAGGATTGTTTCCGGTCGTTGAGCACGTTTGGGGGCCTTCCGGGTGGCCGGCGGGTTCTTCCGGAGCCCACTGGGGAGTTCTTTTGGAAAAAGAACCAAAACCAAAACCTGAAACATCCAGCACGCCGTGCACCCCTGCAAGCAGGGGGCGGCGGATCTAGTGGCCGTCGGCCTATCCCGCCACCGTGCGTGGGTGGTGGGTCAGAGGCCTCATGGATGCTGGTTGGGATCTCGTGGTTGGCTGGGACTTCTGGGGGCCTCTTGGGCGCCTCTTGGGGCTTCTTGGGGGCCTCTTGGGCCTCTTGGGGCCACTAGAGGGCCTCTTGGGGGTCTCTTGGGAGCCTCTTGGGGCTTCTTGGGGGCCTCTTCTGCGCCCCTTGGGGCCTCTTGGAGGCCTCCTCGGAGCCTCTTGGTGCGGGAGGGGTGGTACTCGAGTTCGGAACCCCCTCGGAGGCCACGATCCTTGTGAGGGGTGTCAAAAAACGCATCCGCCGGAAACTCGCACCCCCCCCCCCCCACCCCCCCTTCCCCGGCAGAGCCACCCCGGCAACCCCCCCAGAGGCTGAGGCTCAGCCTCGAGGCTGTAGCTGAGACTCCTTGAAACTCACACGCCGGATCGGCGGATTTCATTACGTCCCTGGCCCCCCCGCTGGGCTGCGCACATGCCGCCGGTCATGATTTGCACCCCCCCTCTTGGATATCCCCCTCTTGGCCGCTCCCGAGTTACGATGCGCGTATCGTGTTGCTCGGGTTCGTGTAGCCCGCATGGCACGACGAGGGAGGGCAGGGGCAGGGATGCGGGTCATGATATGATCTGGCCAAGCATCAAAGTATTCCAGTTGGTCCCCGCACAGTATACGGACCATGCCCGTGTGGGACACCTGGTCGACATGAGAGCTGCCGCCCTGGCCCGTGAATCCTTGTTGTGATGAGGAATTTCGCACTTGCCAGTTCAACTCTCGCTTGCTTCTTGCACGCGCGCCACTACAGTCGGACTTGATTGGACAGGACGCGCTAGAGGACACAAGACCCTTCCAAGGGCCACGTTGCCGCAGAAATGCAAGAGGCATGGGTCGCAAGACACAGGACACGAGGGTACCCTTGATCTGGCAGGGTCGACCTACTAATCCGGGCCGCCTGTACCACGGGCACACATCACATACTGCCGTGCCCTCCCCCTCCCCCCGCTGCCTCCCTCTCCCCCCTGGCGTCGTGCACACGGAGGTGGCGCGAGGGGCGCGGCCTTGGCAAGAAGGCGGGGCATATTCCAGGACGGCAGGCAGGTGGCTTCTCGGGAGCCCTTCTGGCCTCGAGATGCCTTCTTGGAAACCTGCAGGCCTTCCTAAGAACTCCTTCTTTTAGAAGACGGCCCCCTGGCGCCACCCCGTTGCGCCGCCAACCCCCTCCCCGTCCCATCCTCCCCCCCCTCCCTGTCGTTGGATTGCCACTACTGGGACACATCGGCCCTGGCATGCGGGCACAGCCCGTGTTCGGCCGCTCAGTGTCGCTTCATCGGGCTTAATATTTGGCTGAGTCTGGCCCAACCTGGCTCAATATCACACTCATCGGGCCCAATGGCCCTTCACGGTTGCCACGAAGACCTCCCAGAAGGAGTTGCCTCCTGACCTTTCTCCTCTCCGTCCCCACCCCCATGCCCCCTCCTCCCCCGTCCCTTCCCCGAGCTGACGGTTGACATGTAGGAGGGGGGGCAGGCCGACGTGGGCGGCAACGTGGCGATTTGGGCCGTGCCCGAGCTCGGCACCAGCCAGAACACCTGCGTGACGCAGGCGTGTGTCCGAGGGAAGAAGCACGATGACCATGACCAAGATGTCGCGGGATTTTGCCGACGCTGGTCTAGGTCATGGTCCGTGCCGGGCGTCGCGGGTTCCCAGGGACCATCCACGAAGTGAACTTGACCAACATGGACGATGACCAAGATCGGCACCGACATTTTCGCGTTTAGTCTTGGTCATGGTCTTCATTTCCTTTCCCTCCATGGGTGTTGGTGGTCGCTGCGTGAGGGGAACAACGTCGCGAGCAGGGCCGCACTTACCACGACGACGACGCCGCCGACGTCGTCGACGACGGAGACGAGGCGCGCCTACGATGCGCACCCGACCCTCCCCTTCAAGGGTGTCTGTTTTTACCCCCCCCCCTCTCTTTTGCGCAGGAGGGGATGCCTGATCCCCACCCATCCGCACCCCTCATCCGCCCCCCTCGCGCCGCCAAAGCGGTGTGGGTGCGGGTGTTAGTCGTGGGTTGAAAGGGGTTGCTTGTAGGGTTTGGGTTAGGGTTACGTAGGGTGATAGGGCTTGGGTCTGTGATTAGGGAGTGTTCTTGTCAGTGTTTAAGCTGGTCAGGCTTAGGGTGTCAGGGTCAGCATGCTAGGGCTAGGTTCGGGTGGCATGGTTAGTTTGCAGGGCTATGGGTAGCGTTTATGATTCTGATCACGGGTTGGGTTGGGTTGGGTTGGATATATCAGGGTTAGGTTGGTTAGAGTTTATCACCGAGCGCGTTCTTCTACTCGCAAAGTGCTTCCTCGCAAACATCCGAAAACTACATGTCGGCTTTGATGTAGATTATCGTAGATCCCCCGCGGAGTATCCAGGCCATTTGCGAGTACCTAGTTACTTTGCGAGTAGTGGCACGTGCTCGTCTAGTTTAGGTTGCCTAGTATGTGTGCCCTGGTAAGGGTTTGTGCCCATATTTGGGTCAGAGTGGTACTCTTACTGCTCGGGTTAGTGCTTAGGGAGTATGGGCTTAGGGTTAGGTCTGGATAAGAGGGTAATGGGGGGGACCTTTTCCCCTCGGTGGTGCAAAGGAGAGGAGGGTGGGGAGGGGCAGGGCGACGGACCAGGGAACGGGGGAGATGGGGGGGGTCCAGCCGCAGACGATCTTGGCCTCATCGGCGTGCTCTGAAGGGACGTCCTCGTGGCCGCGATGGTCGGGGGGGAGGGCCAAAGCTGTACTCTTCCCGCGCGCGCATGGCGTGAACCTGTCGTCGTGTCTCGGACGGTGCTCGGCCAGGTGCTCACGCGCTTCGTCAACATGCAGACCCTCGAGAGCTCCGCCTCCGTGCAGTGCCTGTGCCCCGTGTACGAGGCCCCCGCGCGGGCCGAGGGCAGGGCGCGCAGGGGGGGGTCTCCGGCAGAAGGTTGCACGAGCCTGGGAATGGGGATGGCAGCCAGGGCGTTGCACGCCAGGGTCTTGCAGGGTCCAGCCCGAGGACGCGGAGAGTGGAGCGGCTGTGCTCCGACACGCGCCGGCCGCTTCCTCGGACGCGCCCGTGGGCGGCTTTGTTCGGAGGTTCCGGGGGATCCGGGGTCGAACAGGCAGGGGAAGAGCTGTCTCGGCGGGTTCCCTGAGTGTGGAAAAGCATTCCAATTGTCCCATGTCTTGTATCGGCGGGGAGGAGGTGGTCTTGGCCGGTCGGGATGCAGCGCTGCGTGCACAGAGGGGTGGTAGGACTAAGATGCTTCGGAGGATCTAGCACCGCAGAACGTGCATGCGGGCTCCGTCGGGCGTCGTCGGACTCCGCCGGGATCCGCCCCCCCTCCTGCTCCCTTCGCCCGTCTCCTCTCTGTGTCTATATTGCCCCTCTCCCCCAAGGTGATGCTTACAACGCTGGTGGCGTTGTTTGCTCTGTCCGTGTTCAAGATCTACGTGCTTTCCGTTTTGGGATTGTCGTTCGCGCCGGGTTCGGTTCGGTTCCGTGTTGTATTGCAGTGTTTGATGCTTTTGGTTTCCGTTGTTTTTTCCCGTCTCGGTTGGTTGGTCAAAATCGAAACCTTGAAAAGCGGGTCATAAGGGGTCCTTATCTGATGAGGACGGTGATGATTCTATAGGCTTACGCCACATCCGCCGACCCCTATGTAAAATATTGCGCTTCCGGGACTGCATTTCACGAGGCTTGTCCGGGTCATGACACGGCGCTCGACATCGTTCCTGTTGCTTCGTTGCTGTTATCGTACCTCTTGGTGCTCTTTTGTTGCCTTTTGGAGGCATATTGGCTTGTCTGCAGGCCGTATCCGGCCGCCTCGATGCATCTTTTGCCAAGTTTTGGGGGCTCTTGGGGGCTTCCTGGGGACTTCCCGGAGGCCTTCGAGGTTCTCTTGGGGGTCCCTCAGGGCCTCTTGGACTGTTCTTGGGGCAGGCTGGGGGCGTCTTGGGGCCGAAGGCACGAACAGGTGTCCTCTGGACTCCGTCTTGGAGCCGTCTGGGGGCCCTCTTGGGCTGTCTTGGGGGCTTCGTGGGCTGTTGTTGGACCATCTTCGACCCTTCTTGGGGACCCCTTTGGCCGTCTGGGGGCGATATTGAAGGTTTCTTTGCCCGTCTGGGACGTTGTGAAAACTAAATAAGCGAGCGTGCGAAGCATGCTTGTTCTGCTAAGGGAATGGGCCGATTTTTGTTTCTTGGGACCCTCTTGGGGGCCTTCTGGTGCGTCTTGGCAGCTTCGGAGGCCGCCTGGCAGCCATCGTGGGCGTCCAGGGGCGATATTTCGGCGAACTGTGGCCCCCTGGGACCGTCTGGGGAGCGTTTTGGTGCTTTCTTGGCCAGTTTTGGAACCCTCCGCTCCCCCGTGGCGCGTTCGGTCCGGGGTCGGGCTCGGCCCGGGGGAGGGGGTCAAATTGCCGGCTTGGGGTCCCTGGGGGGGGGGATTGTGGGGGGCCGGATGATGATGATGATGATGATGATGATGATGATGATGATGATGATGATGATGATGATGATGATGATGATGATGATGATGATGATGATGATGATGATGATGATGATGATGATGATGATGATGATGATGATGATGATGATGATGATGATGATGATGATGATGATGATGATGATGATGATGATGATGATGATGATGATGATGATGATGCTGCTGCTGCTGCTGCTGCTGCTGCTGCTGCTGCTGCTGCTGATGATGATGATGATGATGATGATGCTGCTGCTGCTGCTGCGCTGCTGCTGCTGCTGCTGCTGCTGCTGCTGCTGATGATGATGATGATGATGATGATGATGATGATGATGATGATGATGATGATGATGATGATGATGATGATGATGATGATGATGATGATGATGATGAGGAGGAGGAGGAGGAGGAGGAGGAGGAGGAGGAGAGGAGGAGGAGGAAAAGGAGGATGATTTGGTCTGGAGGCGTGTACTCCTGTCTCAGGTGACCTGTCGGAAAGATGTCCGACACTTCGGACAGCGTGTGCGTCACCCTGGATTTCGAGACCCTGTACAGGTGTCTGCACCGTGCAATTTGTCATGGCCGTCGGTACAATCCGGCTTGGTAGGGGGTCGGAATCTCAGGGGTGCTTCGCGGGGTCTCTTCGGCGAGCGCTCTGGAGGCGGGGGCAATGTCAGCTGGTGGGGGGATACTGCGTGGTCAGTGCGTTTTTTCGTGGCTGACTTTCGAAGCGTTCGCCGTGCAGGCATGGGGAAACACAAGCGAACACCCGCGCTCATAGACGGCAGGCGTCGGTCCAAAAACCGGACGAGTGGTTCTCGAATGGCACGCGGCGCATCCCGCCACCTTGCTTGGTTTGCAGGTCTGCTGCCACACGGATGGTTGCGATCTTGTGGAATGCGTCGCTGGGTCGTCTTGCAGGTGTCGTTGAGGCTTATTGGGGGACTTCGTGGGGGCTGCTTGGAGGCCTATGAGGTTTCCTTGGAAGTCCTTCAGGGCCTTTGTGGGTGATCTTGTAGCAGGCTGGGGGCGTCTTGGGGCCGAAGGCTCGAAAAGGTGTCCTTTTGGATTCCATCTTGGAGCCGTCTGGGGGCCCTCTTGGGCTGTCTTGGGGGCTTCGGGTTGTCGCCGGACCCTCTTCGACTCTTTTTGGGGGCCCCTTTTTTTGCCGTCTGGGGGCGATATTGAAGGTTTCTTGGCCCGTTGTGGACGTTGTGAACACCGAGTAGTCGAGCATGCGAAAAATGCGCGCTTTCTACGGGAGTGACCCGATTTCTGTTTCCCGGGACCTTCTTGGGGCGCATCTTGGGGGCCTTTTGGGGCGTCTTGGCAATTTGAAAGGCCGCCTGGAGGCCATCGTGGGCGTCCAGGGGCGATCTGTCGGCGAATCGTCGCCCCCTGGGACCGTCTGGGGACTGTTTTGGTGCCTTTTCGCAAGTTTTGGAGCCCTCCGCTCCCCCGTGGCGCGCTAGGCCAGGGGGGGGGTCGAATTGCCTGTTTGGGGTCCCTGGGGGGGGGAGTGTGGGGGGGGGGGATCTCACGCGCCTAGAGACCCACAATGGGTCGGCGGACATTTATGGCCAAGGCTAAACTGAAGCTCCACCGCTTTCCAGACCCTGTACTCGTTACCGAACGGTTCCTTATCCAATGCCCTCACCGTAAGCGCGCTGGGCTCTCTGCCGCGCTGATTTGAACGGTGGGGCCGCCGCTCCGTCGGGCCGCCGTCACGCGCGCTGACCGTCCGAGGAACCGCCAGGAGAGGGGAGGGGGCATGCGACTCCCGTGGCGGGGGCGGGGAGACACGCGGCGGCAGTGCGCCGCCACAGTGCGTGTGGCACGTGTGTTTTCTCGAATTCGGTTTTTCGGGCCGGCCCCCGCGGCCTTCACGCCCGCCCAGAGGCGCCCAGGAAAGCCTCGGCGCGGCTTCCAGGGGCCACCGAGCGTTCGCCAAGCCTTTTTGAGGCGTTTCTCGGAAGGCGCTTGGGGGGTGCGGGAGTTGGTTTGGGCGGTAGTGGCTTCGCAAGGCCCGCTCGAGACACACTTGAAGCTCCCAGGGGCGCCCAGGAGCTATGGCGAATCAGTGGTCAGTGCCCGCAGTAATCTTACAACTCCTCCAGCATTCACGTCGGCGTGAGCTTTGGTGCGTTCCCCTTCCGTGCTGAAGGCACGGTGGTGGATGAGGCGCTACCGCCAGGGTCTCGGCTTCGAGGGAGCGAGGACCTTGCGTTCAGAGGCCTTCGGAACGCCAGCAGCAGTACGACGAGGGCGGCTGTGCCAGCTTAGGCCAGCGGATGTCAGCACAACTACCCCCCTCGACAGAGAGGCCCACGCGAGCGATCACAAGATTTCGGGAGTCGGCCATATCGGACGGATTAGTATAGCATTCGAGAATTCTTGGCGGACCTGCAGGGCTCCTCGGCATTTGGGTGTTTCATTGCCGCCGAGTCGGCCAGAAAAAATCGAGCAATCGACGACCTATCGCTCGGTCAAAGACGGGCGTGGTCGGCGCACCCTGTCGCCGCGAGGAGGGCACCGAGCGGTCGAAACCAGGTGTGCGCAGCCGTGGGGAGGACACAGCTAGATCTCTGGCGCCCCCAGACCCCCGACGTGGTGTTTTTTTTTCGCAGCGTGGTTCTTCTGGAGGTCTGGACCTTTGACCCCGGACTAGTCTTTCGTCCTGAGTCGTCGTTTGACGCTGCCGGGTCACGGCAGTGGGCCCCCCGAGGCCGAGGATGGCCAGAAGCCTCTCGCCACGATCTCCTGCCGCGGCGAGAGGAGGTCTGGGCACCTCCAGTCTTCCAGCGGCCACCGCCGCGCCCCGTCAGGGCCCCTCTATCCTCGAGAGGCCCCCTTCCTCTCCTTCGCCCCTCTCCCTCTCCATGCTCACGGTGCTCACGAACCTCGCACGGGACAGGGTGCGTCCTGGGCTCCGGCGCACCCGCCGTGCTCTTCACCCAGGCCCCCAGAGAGCAGGACATAGACTCGCCAGGACATCGGCGAGTCGGGGAAACGACACCCTTTCCTGCAAAGTCAGGTTTGGTATTTCAGTGCAGGTTTTGGTTGCTGCTCTGTAGGATTCGGGTCTTTGTCTGGGTCTGGCCAGGCTGTGTCCTGCATGCTCTGAGGGCCCGTGCCCGGGTTTCTTCCGGAGGCGTTGCAGTGCAGTCTCTGTTTCGTGCCGCCGTCTGGAAACGATGGCTTCGAGGGGTGTTGGATGTCCTGGTCTACAGTCGGCGCCCTGAAGAAGGAACCCTTTTCGTTGGGGAGGGGCTCCGCGTTCCTTAAGTGTTTCACAGCTTGCCTCAGGCTTCCCTAATGTTTTCGACAGGAAATCGAAGGTTAACTTATTGAAAAAGGGGCCTCGTTCCTTATTTAAGGTTCCTTAGGTCAACGCCCCGACTGTAGCGTGTCCGGGTCTACGGGGCCCAGCTTCACGGAGCCGGCCTTCTGGACGCCTGTCGGCGCCTCGCCTCGCCTCACCTCGCCTGGCCGCGTGCGGCAGGCCCGCCATGGTCGCCCGCGCCGCCCAGGGGGCCTCTGGCCGCCGTGCCCTGCGCCCGCCCGTGCGCCCGCGGCCCGCGCCGCCGAGGCGGAGCCGCAGAAGCTCGCCCTGTATACCGGAGACGAGGACTCCGCGCGGAGGGCTGCTGGGGCGGGGGGGGGGGCTTCTGGGCCCAGGAGTCTTGGGGGTCTGGGCCGGGCAAGGGTGTATGACGACTAATTTAAGAAAATGGGAGAGAACGATCATAACATAGTTTTCTGTTATTTCTGCAGAATTTTCTGACCGGAGGAGAGCGATACAAAAAATGGGTTGTTCCAGCCCGCGGCCGGTTTTTTCTAATCGTCATCCCGGGCGCCGCCGCGTGAACACGACCCCCCGTCAGTTATTAATCGTCATCCTCCATTACGTGAGCTCCATTCCTCGGACGTTCTTCGATCGGGGCCGTGTCTCTGGCTCCACAGCTATCGCTTCCTTGCTTCTGCTGGGTGCTTCCTGTGGGGGATGCTTGGCACGGGCCAGTGTTGTTCTCAAATGCTAGGTTTTCCTTCGTTTGCCGTTCGCTGACTCTGACCCCCCGAAGTCTGACCCCCTATGAGCAGGCGAATGAGCGGGCCCGCTGCCGAGCTTGGTCGGGGTGAACGCGCGTCAGTCGAGGCCTCCCAACTGAGATCCAAGAAGATGGAGTCGGTGAATCGCGCCGCATCGCCGAGGCATCGAGCATGCAACTCGATGTGGAGCCCGACTTTCTCCACGTCGGCGCCGCCGATGCATCGCCGACGTCGCCGATGTATCGTCGAGACATCGGCGATGCATCGGCAATGCGGCGAGATGCTCCGACCCCATCTGCTCGGACCCCATTTGGGAGCCGCTAGTTATGGGGGGATAGGGGGGGGCCGCCTACGACCAGATTCGATGCGATTCGATTCGCTAGTTGGGGCCGCGATTCCGATGCGATTCGATGAGGTTCGGTTCAGACTTCATCGGCATCGGCGGGGGGCCAGCCAGGCGTGGCGATCGATTTCGGTCCGATTCGGGACGATGCGTCGGCGATCCGATCCGCTTCCGATCCGATTAGATCTCGCGATCCAGCTCAGGCTTGACAGGCACAGGGGGTGATGCATCGAACCCCAATCGCCCTTTGATCGCCGATGGGTGCCTGATAGCTCAACCCGCGCGGGAACGTGCGGCTTCTCTGTCTTGGACCTGTCGCCGATGTATCGGCGATGTCTCGCCGATTCCAGCTCGATGTTCCCCCTCCTTGCCAGTCCCTCCCTACAGTAGGCACACAAACAACATGAAAAAGAAACCGGCCTGCTCGCGGGTGCCCCAGGGGTACCTTACAAAGCACATAATCGACAAAAGCTGTGCCCCTGGATTTCTTACAGCAAGATTGCGAAGGCCGTGCCGCCATTGCTGCCGACCTTGAAGGGGGACGACGACGACGACGACGGCGACGACGACGAAGGCGATGATGACGACGACCCTGACGCTCTGGAGCCGAAAGCTTCTCCCAGGGAAAAGGTGCTCCCCCCCGCGGGGGGGGGGATCGCAACCCCCTTGACAGTGGAGCCCTTGGGCACCCTGCGAAGCCCAGAGTCGCTGGAGGCTGTGCCTCTGAAGGTTTTTCGTGGCACGGTGTCTCGTCGTTCCCCCTTCGCTTGTGGAGGACGATCCATGGAGAGGAAGCGCACCGCCAATTAATTCCCAGGTGTGTAAAGCATGTTTCAGGCATGTTATTTAAAACATGCATGTATGTTTGAAGCATGTTTAAACAATGTTTTACGCATTTTCAACACATTTTTAGGTCAGCGATCGGATGGTCAGGGTGTCCACTGTCGTGGCGTCCACAACCCTTCGCTCGTGCGGGCCCGCTGCCGAGGCTGGGGGCGCTCGGTGGCGCGGGGCGGGCAGGAGGGTCTCGTTGTTTTGGGGGGGGGTCCAGGGCTGCAGGCCGCTGGCCCTGCCAGGGGGCCCACGAACAATTAGGAATACCTTATCCGTAAGGGCTTCGCCCCCTGCCGCCGGCCCCCTCTCTCGGAGAATGGGCCATGGAAGAGCTAAGTCATGAGGCCTTGGCGCTGTCGTGAAGCAGTATCGAAACTTCATGCGAAGCCGAGTCGCAATCAGCAAAACCAACTGATCACAAGAGGGGTTACCACACCTGGCGATTGGTAAGACGTGTATGGTTTAAGGGCTTGGTTACCACACCTTGCGATGAAAGGGCCGAGGGAGTTCTCGCAGTTTGGGTTACCACGCCTTGCGATGGATGTGCGTGATGGGTTCGAATTTCAGAAATGTGGCAAATCCCCTGTGTTTTTGGACCCTGACCCCGCGGATCTGCGTGAGGGGTGGCACCGAATTTCAGAAATGTGGCAAATCCCATGTGTTTTTGGACCCTGACCCCGCGGATCTGCGTGAGGGGTGGCACCGAATTTCAGACATGTGGCAAATCCCATGTGTTTTTGGACCCTGACCCCGCGGATCTGCATAAGGGGTGGTACCGAATTTCAGAAATGTAGCAAATCCCATGTGGTTTTGGACCCTGACCGCGCGGATCTGCGTGAGGGGTGGCGCCGAATTCCAGAAATGTGGCAAATCCCTTGTGTTTTTGGACCCTGACCCCGCGGATCTGCATAAGGGGTGGCGCCGAATTCCAAAAAACATGTGGCAAATCCCATGTGTTTTTGGACCCTGACCCCGCGGATCTGTGTGAGGGGTGGCACCGAATTTCAGAAATGTGGCACATCCCATGTGTTTTTGGACCCTGACCCCGCGGATCTGCGTGAGGGGTGGTACCGAATTTCAGACATGCGGCAAATCCCTTGTGTTTTTGGACCCTGACCCCGCGGATCTGCGTGAGGGGTGGGACCGAATTTCAGAAATGTGTCAAATCCCTTGTGTTTTAGGACCCTGACCCCGCGGATCTGCGTAAGGGGTGGCACCGAATTCCAGAAATGTAGCAAATGCTTTGAATTTTTTGGACCCTGACCCCGCGGATCTGCGTGAGGGGTGGCACCGAAGTTCAGACATGTGGCAAATCCCATGTGTTTTTGGACCCTGACCCCGCGGATCTGCGTGAGGGGTGTCGATTTCGAGCCCCCCCAGCAATTCAGACAACGCGCCCAGGGGACGCTAAAAATCCAGTTTGGGCCTCCCCCCCCTCGCGCGGTCAATCAACTAGTTACAGTTACCAGCAAGAAGTCAACTAGTTACAGTAACCAGCAAGAAGCAGACCTGTAACACTGGAAACTACAAACTACAACTGGTACAGGAAACTGCGAATCACGCGCCTCGCAGCCTGGTGGCCCCACAAGGGGGCCGGCGGATATATATATATATATATATATATATATAGCCCCTGCTCTCCGTGCGGAGGTCGGTCGGCTGTTCAAAGCAGAGGCTCGTTGCACTGCTCAGATCTTTGCAATTCAGGCGGCCACGCGCCCGATCATTGCTGAGGATCGTCAGAAGTTTCTTGATTCTCTGGCGGCTAGCGCCTCGAGCGCCATTGATAAACACGATCCCCGGCAAGCTTTCGCAGTGCTGCGCGCCCTCGGCTCCCGGTCTCAGAAGCCCAGTCAGTGCTTGATCAAGCCTGACGGCGAGCTCACTTCGACCACCGATGAGGTCAAAGAGGTCTGGCAGCATCATGCCCAGACCATATTTCGTGGCGACGTTGTTGCCAAAGAGCAACTGCGCGAGCCACCTGCGCCGCAATTAGCTCACACCTCCACTTTGGACGTTGGGCCTGAAGCGACTCGGCGCGCTTACTTCTCCCTCGGTCGTAACAAGGGGGTGGGGTTTGACGGCATACCTGCTGAGCTTTTGCAGGCTGGTGCTTCTGCCTTGGCATGTAAATTTTCTGCCATCAACCAGCGGGTTCAGAACACTCGTCAATGGCCCGCTGCCTGGAGAGGCGGCCGATCCCAGGAGATTTTTAAGCGGAAGGGGAGCCCCCAAATCACTGACGATTACCGCAACATTTTGTTAGCGGACCACGCCAGTAAAGGATTGACGAGTATGCTCCAACGGTCTCTTGACCCAGCCTACGTTGCCCATCAGCCCGAGGCCCAGTATGGGGCCATCCCGAAGAGAGGCACTGACATGGCCTCCCATCTTCTTCATAGCCTCATTGATTATGCAGAGCTGGCCTGTCTTTCTATATGTGTACTGTACGTAGACCTCACGAAGGCTTTTGATAGAGTAATCCGTCAGCTCATGTATGGCTGGGGATCCCGTCCTGCTGCTGAGCACCGTCAGTACTTGCTGTCGCTAGGAGTGTCTGCATCCTCCGCAGATTGGATGATAACATACCTTGATCAGCACGGCCCCCTATTGCAGCAATGGGGTGTCGATGAAGTAGTGGCGGACATGATCCGCACCTTGCATGACGGCTCTTGGGTAGCCGTGTCTGATCTCCCCACTTGCGTCACAAGCCGCACAGGGGGCCGCCAGGGCTGCAAGCTTGGAGCGCATATTTTTAATGGGGTGTATGGGGTCGCTTTAACGCTGATTGCGGACAAGCTCCGCGCAGGGGGCGTCTCTCTTCGGTTACCCTGCCCCCAGGGCCCTTTCTGGGCATCCCCTGGGCCAGGCGATTCCCCGAGCACGTCTGTTTTAGATGCCGCCTTTATCGACGATGAGGCGCTAGCCATTGTAGCTTCAAGCCCGAAGCAGCTCGACCAGAAAATCGATCAGCTGTTGTCTGTTCTTTTTGAGGTCTTTGGCCAGTTGCATCTCCAGGTCAATGCCTCCCCCGGCAAAACGGAAGCACTCTTGATGTACAGGGGCCCCAAAGCCACTGCATGTCGCGAAGCCCGCCGGCAGGGTGATGGGACCCTCCGCATCTCTGTCCCAGGCCGCGACCTGTCTATTAGCGTCGTCAGTTCTTATAAGCACCTTGGCACTGGCTCCTCCTTACATCGTGCTGACATGTCTGATGCGAGAGCTAAAGCGGCCAAGACACTCACCGCATACGGGCCACTCTCGTGTAAAGTGTTCGCTTCCCATCTCATCCAGACTTGTCACAAGCTGTATTTCATGCAATGTTTGCTGCTCACTCGGCTGCTTTTTAACATTCATGTTCTGGTACCATCTCCTCGCCATTTGAAATGTTTGAACGCAGT